AATTTCCCACCAACTATTGCATGTCAAACATTTGCATCCAGGAGGATGACGATCCCAGAACGTATGGCAGAATGTTCAAACTTTGTTTCGTTAGTTTCGATGTGGTATAAATCCTTGAGCTTTGAACTTTTTTCCACTGTGCAAAATTACACACACAAAAAGTTGTTAATAACAATTTGGGAAAAGCAAAAGTTGCGAGGGATGCACAAAAAAAAAAGCAAAAAAAACAGAGAAGAGAAAAGGGGAAAACAAAATTTGAGTTTGTTGTGAAAAATGTGCTACAAGCTAAGCTCATTTATCACAATGATGAAGTTGCCAAAAGTGAGGGAGCTGGACGACAGGATATGGATGAGGATGAGGCCATGTCATGCGGGCCATTCGATATTCCTGCTCTTACTTTAATCATAAACCGGGGCACAGACACTTCAAAAATGTAAAATAAGTCGCCCAGTCAATGTTTTGTTCGCCGGATGGATCACTCCCTCCCCAATGAACTTCAATCCCCCCCGCTTTCCCTTGTTCAATTTGATTGCAGTTCTCAACTTTAGCTTCGTTGATGACTTTGTTTTTGTCAACGTCATGACTGTCATGCAGAACGTGTTCCAGTTCATGTTGCTCCACTCATGTTGTGTAACAGATTTTCCCACTTTCCCAGCCCTTTTGTGAAGCGATATTTATTGTTTTCCAACTCGCAATACTTCAAGTGGAGCGGAAGCCCTCAGTTAAGACTGCTGCCAGCTGCTTATTGGCATTAAAGGCGGTCTGTTTGAGTTATGGCTTTGATGTGTGACGAAAGGTGCTTGGTTGGTCATTAAGTCATCTCCTCTAATAGTTGGAATGCACAGAGAAAACAGTCAGAAAGTCAGCAATATTTTAAAACAGAAATTTAACTGGCGTAAGGAAAATCAATTTCTGCATAAAGTATCAGATTGACAAAAGCAGCAATATATACATATTCAAGAGGTAATCTAGCGAACAAATTGACGTATCGGATTGAAAGAGATATAGTTGGTTTTGATATGACAGAATACAGAAATGATAATAATTTGCATGGAATATTTTTGCTAGCCAAGCATTCAGAATAACGTTTATCAGCAATCGCTCATTTATGCATTTTCTGGGAATGCAAATAATTGAAAAACAATCCATTAATCGATGGCAATTAGAGGCTGCGGCAAATGTCACTTTGATGACCTCTGACCCGACTTTGCCCCTCGACCACATGACCATATTAATCCACATCCGGATTGCGGCCACCGACAAGAAACAGAGAGCACCCAAAAAACCGCTCCACATTTCAATTTGATGGCCCAATGACCTCGCTCCGGTGGGCGTTGAAGGGGCGGGGCTGAATGTTTGCCGTTTGGTCATTGTTTGCCACATCGAAGGGTTAAAGGCCTTAAAGTCAACAGTCAAGGCCTTATCAACGAACAGCTGGCGAGGATGGGAAGGCCACCGCATTTTAAAGGACGGCGCATCCTTTGTGGCTGCTAAGCTTAACAAATTTGTTATTAAGATGTTTAACCCAAAAAACCGCCCCACATGTGAGCTGCAAACACCAAAAAGCAAGCTGGACCAGCCAAAAAAAAATGAATGCCCTCAAATAAATGAGCAAATAAATAACAAGTTGCCCCAGCGAATCTTTTGTGAAACTGGACACAGGATATCTGGCGACTCCGAGGATGGGGAAAATGGCGAATACCCGCCTCCAGGTATGTTTTGTTGTCTGGTGCGTGATAAGCACTCGAGAACGCCGCTCCCGGGCAAGCAATTTAAGCAATGGAAGGACTTACCCCCACACTCTTGCAGTTTGTCACTGTCCGCCAGGACACATATCGCCGAAAACTAATTTCATCAAATGCGAGTTACTGGTCACAATAAATTGAATGTTGATGGGAAGCAAATCAGGCCGAAATGTAAGTCAAATGCTTTACCTGGAAATTCAATAATAGGGTTTTGTTTATTTATGATGGGAGAGGTCCTGATGGAAATACAATTTTCTATTATAATTAATTTATATGATGCATTCAGTTAGCACGTTTTTTATTCACTGGTAAAACTAGTTGTGTCTATTTACCTCGAGATACATTTTATATTTAAATATTATCATTATTTCATTCAAAGTAAAATTGCATAAAACGCCTTGTACTTGATTAATAATGATTTTATAAGATTTTTTTATATATAGGTATTTCAAGAGCTGGTGGGTAATTGTATCCTTTCAAATTTATGTACCCATCAATTCTGGTAATTTTTAAAATGTACTCTATGGCCATCTGTAACCAAACCACGCAAGCCAAAAGTGGGATACACCCGCAAATGTTTCCAGTCCCACGGATACATAATTAAATCAAATATATACACGGCCACGCAGGTAGAAATACTGGCAGCATATGTTACGCATACGCAGCGTTGAACACTTAAAAATGCTGGTCACTGGCGGTTCGCAATTGCGTGGCTAAACCATAAATCACAATGCCTGCACAATGCCAACACCTGCCATCCCAACTGGGGCTTAAAACGGATGGAACCGGGGAAGGCGGGGTTGGTTGGGATATATAGTAAATTTCAGCCCTTAAGCAAATGCACTAATTTCCACCTTTGGCATGCATATTGATATATCAACTGAAAACTATCTGCGAATTCGTTTGTCTGTGTGGGTGGACATTGTTTGTTGTTGTTTGCCTTCAGCGGCGTCATTAGCATCAAAGTAAATTTACGTTTATAAATTAGCCCGAGGGCAGAACGAACTCAATGGCGGCCATAATTCAACTGAATCATATGAGCAGGGGGCAGAGATAGAGACAAAGAGATGAAGGCTAAGAATGCAGGCAGCGAGTCCGTGGAAAGACCTGAATGTATGCAAAATACTTCAGCGTAATTCCGTTTCTCTCGCCTTATGCACTACAAAAAATAGACAAATTAGTTTACAAAAACTTTCAGGCTTGGCTAAAATACAAACTTATTTAAAGTTCTGCCTTATTGTTATGTCAAATAATTCACATTTAAAATATAATACGAATTTATACGTACAGAATAAACTGTTCCCATACCAAAACATTTTTTATTTTTATACTTAACATATGAATTCTCTTTTGTATATTTAACACAACAAAAAAGGAAATTTATGCTCTTTTGGCCCATTAACATACATAAACTTTGACCATTTAACATACATAAACTTTTAATGGATGAACGAAACTCGTTTTCACACAAAGCAGACTACCTTATAAAAAGAATCGTAAGACATATCTTATCAAAATTTCCAAATTAAACAAAACCAATCACAATAGATAGAGTTAAAAATAGACCAACAAATTAAAAATATGATTAAAGCAATAAGCAAAGCTACCAAAAATAAAACCATTTGTGCAAACTATCTTTTAGAAATACAAAACTCACTAGAATATGTGTCAGGTCGTATGTGGAATATAGTGGTACAAATACAACTGTTTCTCCCGTCCAAATATCAAGCAGTCGTGGCCGAGCGGTTAAGGCGTCTGACTAGAAATCAGATTCCCTCTGGGAGCGTAGGTTCGAATCCTACCGACTGCGATCAAGTGAATTTTTTTATATTTTTTTTTTTATATAACATCAACAATTTTTAATTGCACCTAAGTAAGTTTCTTAGGATTAAATTTTAAGATTTTTTGAAGTGTACTCCGACTTGTTCGTTGGCACAACTTATGCAAATTGCGACTCTTTGGCTTGGTCTTTGTCAAGCTAAGAAGTTGCATACCAGCGTCTTGCTAGTGCATAATATATATGTATATAGCCGACACATATATATAGGAAAATTGCATGTTTCAGTGCAATGAAAACAAATCGCAAAATTACCATAATCAAAGCATAAAAGGGATTTCTGTTTTATTCTTAGAACCCCGCACAGCTTCTTCCCTTTTTTCCTTCTTAGCCTGTTGCCAGCTCTTTATTTCCGACCAAGACAAAAGAAACGAACCTCTTTTCCTCTTTGCTACTTTCTTTTTGTTTTTTGAAAGTTGTCGACCAAGTTTGCTCAACGAAATATTTTAAAGTAATTGGCCTCGTTTGTTGGCTGCCCGGGATGCAAGCTGCGAAAGCAAATTGAATTTCGAAATAGATCTATTTGAGTTCGGTAATTGGTGCGGGGCTCTCCTACGAATTGTTTTTGACAAGTCCCCTCTCGTACTTTATTGCGGTCCTTCGTCCTCACGCTTCGAAGAATAGGAGTGTAATTGAGACAGGACTTGGAAGAGCAGTGTCAAATGAGAAAAAAGTTAAAAAAAAAGGTACAGGCGTTAGAAGTTTGTTCTTTTAGACAGATACTAAAAATCAGTTTAGAAGCTACGTCGGTCCATAAATTAATAATAATAAAATAATAGTAACAAAATAATAATAGTTATAATAAAATTATTTTATTTAATTTAATAAGTAAATAAATTATTTAGCCATGAAGTTGATTAGCGAGGAGGAGCTTACGCATCGTAGCCAATGGAAAGTCAGTAAGGGGGTGTGGCCAATGGTGATTGGCCAACCGTTGCTGGCCTATAAAACGAACCCCAATCGGAGTTGGCCTTGAAGAAAAAGCTAACAAGTAATCGCAAAATTACCGTCAACTTAATATAAATTCACATATTTAGACATTTATCTTTAAAAAATGTAAAAACGTTTTAAAAATGCTGTATAATTTGTAGTTAGAGAAATTATAGAAAGACTGAAGTATACACAATCCTATGTTTATAATTAAATTGCTTCTCAAAACTGTATAAATTAGACATTAAAAATAAAACACTACTTTACACTTACCAACAAATTTCCAGTTCAACATTTTTATTCTGAAAGCTTATCAAAAAGCTTTGGCTGTGTATTCTTGGGGGGTTTTTGACTTTGCTAAACAAGAACTTTAATCAAATTGTAACCAAATCATTAAACAAAATTTAAACTTATTTCAAAGGATATCTCCTATTCTATTCTACGTAATATTGTTTAACAAATAATAGTTTAAAATAAAACAAAATCTGTTTAGTTTTTCTTGTTTTCCTTGTGTATTCTTTTTTATTAAGTTACTAAAAGTACAAAAATTTGCTGCTAAAAAATAGGTTTACAATTTGGTTGCTAATTTACAAAAGACCTAGGGGAAATTAAAAGTTCAATAACTGGAAGACAACAATTGACGATTGATGGGACACGCAGGACGCACATAAGTACAGTACACACTAAAAGACTATGGACGAAAGATATGTACCAACTAGGAACACACAATTATACGAGACACAGAAGACGAGACACTAATTACTGAATCTAAGGCAATCATTGCTTTCCAGTTTTCAGATGGATGGAGGTGGGTTTCGGGGTACAAATTCGATTGGGTTCTACGGGTTAAAAACTCCTCAGTTTTCTCCTTTTAGCGCCTACCACGCCCACTTGGGGGAGACCTTGTCAAAGTTCCACTCATCGGGATGTCCTTCGTGACCACCGCCCTCTTCCACGGGACTCATCTGCGACCACTTGAAGGGTCCGCTGCCGATCTTCCTCATCGCAATGGCCCTCATATCATTTCGCACCGGTCGCCGTTCGGTGATGAGTTCCATTTCCGCCAGACTATCCGCATCCTCGATGCTCACACTGAGTCTTTCATCGCCCATGGAGGCAGATGGTGGAACACCGTCCTTTTCCTCGTCATCCAAAGCTCTCGGTTGGACGTGCTGGAATCGCAGGAAAATCGGGCCAGCGAAGGCGTGGAAATCGCTCTTTCCCAAGCGAGCATTGTAGGAGAACAACTTCAGATCTATGTTGCCATAGGCAATCGACTCCTGGCTGCCCAGCAGATCTCCACGGAAGCCGTGGGTCCTCAGGTACTTGTCCACCGCCTCGAGGTTCGTCAGCTCCTCCTCGTCGGCGGCCGTCAGCTGCTGATCCTCGCTGTAGTTCACACCGCTCAGCTCGAGGACACTCTTGTGGTACGGCACTCCGTTGGCCAGCCAGGAGGAGTTGCCGGGCACCAGAAATCCCTGAGTCACATCCTTCTTGGTCAAACTGCCCGGCAGCTGCTCGGCAATCCAAACCATATCCTTCAGCTGATCGTGACGCTGCTGAATGGCCGTCCGATCCTTCTCGTTCACCGTAACTGCGGCATCGTCATGCTTGTCATCGCCCTCCAAAACGTTATAGAGGTTATCCTGGGCCTTCAGCTTGTTCAGGTCCACGGTGATCCATTGCTTGGCTCCGGTGATTGGATGCTTGCTCATTGCACTGGCCCACGTTTGACGACTCTGTGAGATACGATTGGCCGCCATCACACGCGCCACCAAGGGAACCATCTTCTTGGGATCCACCGATTTCCACAGCGCCAGATTCTCGTTCTTGATGCCCACTCCTCCCACGATCGCATGCAGATGACGTCCCTTGATCATGTAGAAGTCGTCAGTGGATCCCAGGATGCCGGGGTAACCAGTGAATGTGATATCCACACCGGGCACCGTGTTGCTCCTCAGCTTCGGTGAGAAGTGGTAGTGGAACTTGTAGCGCTTCTGGATCCTCAACATGGAGGAGTAGCTGCCTGCCGTACTGTGACCAAATAGCAATTGGAGTGTCTGCGGAGAATCCTCCTCCTGGACAATCTTCGTCAGCATGGAAGCACTTGGCAGGAAGAAGTTCTTCGGCTGATCGGTTCCCGATTCCTCAGTTCCCACTGTAGTGTTGGGCAGCACATAGTTCTCATAGTAGATCTTCAGATCCTGGAGATCGGCAGCGGCATTCATCAGCAGGAAATCGGAAAATGGTATCTCCTCCTCCAGATCGGAACGTGCTCGAGTGGCTCCTCGCTTGTAACCAGTTTCCAGACCCTCCAACTGGGTGATGAACAAGTGCAACTGATGCCAGTAGTGATCGTTTTCGGCCTTGTCCGTTTGCCTCTTCAGGCGGTTGTAGTTCGAAGTCAAGAGTTCCCTCAGCCAACTGCAGAACTTCTGGGTGCTCTCATCCCGCTCGCAAGAAGAGGAAATGGTACTAATAAATAATAAGATTATTAATAACTTTAAGATACAAATCAGAAAGATAAATCTTACTTGGACCACTGATTGTAGATGTTTCTCCAAGTTAGGGAACCCTCTAGCATTCCAGCAGCATAAGCTTGAACCCAATCAGGATAAGTTCTTTGCGTCTCCACCTCAATTTGAGCCCATCTAAAAATATTAATGAAAAGTTATAGGGCTCGTATCTCTATTTTCCGTATTTTCCTTTTGGGAAACTCACCCATTTTCGTAAACCGAGTTCTTGTAGCAAATCCTGCCTACTCCAGTGGGAATGTTGACCAGATCGTTCTGCTGCTTCCAGTTTTCAATTTGGAAGCCGACCTGCTTGGTCCACAGAGCGGTGGCACAATAGGTGCCATCGTACTCCGGCCGCTCCATGTATCCAATGAAGAAGGCTCCGATGACCAGGAGACCAGCACCGATGAGGATGTAGGTCCCTATCCGCGTTTTTTGCCACGATGCACCAACGACTTTCAACATTGTGCCGGCCGTCTTGAAGCTTAAGAAAGATGATCCAAAAAAACGATGCTTCTCAAAAACGATCCAAGAATCGATATTCCAAAGTTCAGATTCCCTATTTGTTTTGTTAAAGCAATTTAACCCGAATAATTGTGATCGGCGCGAGCTGCGTAGGAGTGGCCAAGACGGTGGGCAATCAGGTGGCCAGTGTGCAGGTGGTTCTGTGGCTGGATGGTGGTGCTGGTGGTGCAGAAAGAGGTGCTGATTTCGGTGGCCACGCTGTCGAGCGCTTCGGCCGAGTGGTTCATGGGTGGTGCGCTGCTTTCAAGCAGAGATTCCAACGGTTTCCAGGTGGTTAAAGTTCGCTGACTATTGACTTTATGTGGCTTAAATGGCTGGCGGTGGGTTTTGTGGAGCTTGGCTATGTCTTTTGAGGTTCAATTTGTATCCCTGCAAGAGAAAACAAACAAGTTGATGAATTGGAAACTACGCACAAGTTGATCATATATCAAGTGATATGACGTCTTGATGGAATATTTATTTATGCCAAATAACACCCATTCATTAGTGTAAATATTTACTCAATAACTCACAACAACAAACATGTTCGATGATTTGTGTTCTCATTGCCTTTATTACTACATGCTCATTAAATATTATATCCCATACCGGAATCTTCCAATGATACTTGGACCTTGAACCATTTCCAATATTTACACACTTTCCCTGAAGATCCCATAATCCAAATGTTTATTTCACACTTTCGCTAATTTTGGCAAAGGAAATTCCTTTTTGGCGAGTCCCGAGTGGAGTAAACAAATTAAAGCATTTGTAAAACTTATAAATTAGTTTTATGGCTCGGAAAGTACTTGAGTGGCTGAAATTGCTTTATGGCCAAGCAGCAGCTGGTTAGATCTGCGCTAAAAAAGATAAGCAGGTGTTCACCTGTTCTTGAGATCCCGCACAGAAATCTACATAATAAAATAATCCCCACGATTGTTAGGGATCTTGGAGCAGAAACAACGGAAAAGTTTCAATCAGTTTATTTAGCTTGTCTTGGGGTTTGTCCTTAGTTAATTAATAAACAACATTATGATTACAGCAACCAAATTGCTCCGCCTCTATAAATATTACAATTTCAAAGCCAATTCCAGCCCATTGAAGATCTTTCACAATCGCTAATGTAAATTTTAAATTCCATTCGGAAATTCCAAATTAAACCTGTACTAGTCGGGGGTAAACAATATTATTGTGTACATTTGGCACGTGGGGAAGAATTCCAAACAGTATCAAAAGCATCGAAAAATTGTGTTTTGCTTGCGAATTTTTGAACAGATCTGATTGTTATTAACATCAATCAGTCGGCAGGCTCATACAATTAAACATTTATTCCGATGTGAGTTTCTAGATTGTTTTCCCTGATTAAATCCTATAATTCTCTGGCTTTTTCGATATAAAGATTCTTGAATATTTATTGCTCAAAAGTTAAATCGATATTTGCGTGCGCAATTTAATAGCTTTAACATATGTAAGCAATTAATTAAAAAGTAAAGAGTCTTACCTTTTGTTTCCCGGGTCCAGGAAGCTGCAATATCACAAGTCAACCCATTTGAAGAACTGCAAGAAATGGAAATATAAATTTTGGTTAGATTAGTATTGAATTTTCCATAATTAAAAGGCGCCAATAACTCAAACATTTTCTCGAACACTGGAGAAACGTTTTATTAATTCGGTTCTTTGTTTATTTTCCCAATTGGTGGCACATCTCGTGATTTGTCTGATTTCTGCCGACATTCAGAAATGAGTCTGGAGTGCCTTTGTTTACATTGGATTCAATGGGACAACGCTGAGCAGGCGCACGCGCTTATTATTATTGGCTTATTTGTCATAAAATGTTGATCATGGCAATTACTGGATACACGATATGATATATGATCGCTAATTGGTTGGTGGTCTTTGTTGGAGTCGGGAAAGTTCGTAATTGAGTTCTCAGAAACCTATCAATAACTATTTCCATATTTAATGAGCTTATCCCTCACACTTTTCACCACAATAAGTGGCAGTTGTCTTACCCCTTAATCGTCTCAATTGAGAATAATATTTTTTAAAAAAGAATTGGAATTTTTTAATGGCAAATAGATTGTAATGATGTCTGGGGAGTTAATTAATTAAGTAATTAAAATAAATACGTAAGAACTGTATTCCCAGTAACAATTCCCTTTCAGAATGTTCAAGTCGTAAAATTTCCACAGTTAGGTCATTTAACTTGAACGATAAGTTTGATAACCTGGCAACAAAGTTGTTTTTGTAAAACAGCTTTAATAGCCCGGTAAGAATATATTTATTGCAATGCAAATTTAAATTGTTTAGTGCGACACAATTTTAAGAGCTCTGTTTCATCTGAAACAATTTTACTGCCAAGCCAATTATTCTACTAGCACTTAGTTAAAAATGTTAATCACTTGTTAGGAATGCTTTAAATAAAGTAACGCTTTTAATTGTGTGACTAATCAGTGGGCGTGAAACTATAATCAATGACTTCAAGGCCCAGTGTAAACAATTGATTTGCAATAAACTCAGAAAATAGCAACAGTACCAACGGAAATTCTTTCATTTCACTCATTTCCATTTCAGATCGCTGTGAAAATAAACAGCAATCAACCTGAAGTGAAAAGAGTCAGCCCCAGCACATCAATCGATGGCATCAATGAAATAAGTTTATATTTTTAAACTTATTTAAGGTAATCCATAACAGAACTTAATTGACTTGCCCTCATGGAAGGCCGCAAGGCTGTCAAAATGTCTATATACTATATAGTAACCCGCTGATCCAACTCACAAGTTCAGAAAAAACTTCTACTGACGTAAGAAATTAGCTTCGCGTTCCAGGAAAGCTAAAAACAAACGGAGGATCTAAAATGGTTTGGGAAGCATAAAGCCAAGAAAAAGTTGTGAGATCTCACTGACGTCTTTGTAGCTCATTTAACTCACTTAACTTGATTAACGCTATTATCATTATAGCTAAGCAAACACAGTTGTTTTGTTTTCTAGATACATGCTATATGTATCCATATAAATTCGCTATGTGCGCTACTGAACTAGATAGTGACACTGTTTTCATAGCCCTGACAAAATTATCGTATGCATTTACAACCATTTGCCAGTTGATCAATCAAAACTTAGTCTCGGGTAAATAATTTACACATGCCAGAACCGAATCGAGCTTAACTTTTGCTGTCGTCGAGGGGAAAATATTGATAAGATTGCCAGCGTATTTATTAGTTCAATATTTAGATATGCATGTCTAGCTTTTGGCATATTAAGAACGTAAGTTCAATCAGCTGAATCCAATGTAGTTCACTCAGATAAGATAAATTATAGTCTAGCCTAAGCAAATCTTTCCATAAAATAGGGAAATTTCCTGAAAACACTTTAAATGTTCTAATCTCTATCATCATTTGTGGTTATAAAATATTTTTACACTTTGGCAACAATAAAATCCCACATTAGTTGGAGAATTTATGAATTAGGTGAACACATCAAGTTAACGCGCATTCTTTATGAAAATGTGTAAAAAAATAGGAAAGCAAATAAAAAGTTTCCATCACGCAATATAATCTCTTTAAAAGTATGTTTGGCAATTTCAAATACTTGCTTGATTAATATTGATTACCATTGCCAATGGAAACTTTTGATGGCATTCTATAATTCCTTTTGTTCATCTATTGAAAATATTCCAGCTAAGTAAACACTTGAAACCAACCCACATACTTAGAATACATTATTCTTCTGTCTGCAATATATAATTCCACAACAAATTCATAATCTTTCGCAGAATTCCGAACACCACATGTGGCGTTCAGTAGTTCCATTTCTAAACGTGCCACGTGAGTGATCCGGGAAATAAATGCTTTCCGGAGCGGATTGCTAACCAAGTTTATTCACTCCCCCCGATGGTGGGAATCACTCAATGAATGCCCACGAATTGTTAACGCTGCATAATTATTTTGGACGGGTGTGTGCTTTCCATGGCAGTCAATTGAGGTAAGGTAATAAAAAAAAAACTGCTAAGTCGGGCGATGCCACGCGTCGCTATCCAGTTGACAACGCCGCCGATTTGATAAGCCCCATATCCGAGTCAAAGTCTGGAGTGAGTGCCGTGTAAACTGATGCCGCGCAACTAAGTTGGAAGTCAGCAAACCAAATGCGCCTGTTTTGTAATGCCAGACAGCGCCGCACTGCGGAAGGCCTACACTGAGATTAAAAAAGGTAGCTCTAAGCAAAGAAATAAGTTCCTCAAAATCAGTTTAATATAAGTATCAAATGGTGATATTGTAGGAATTAATTCTTTTTTAATATGGTTTATTAATTCACTTCCCTAGGACTGGTAAGTTGTTTTTACAATTCTTAAATTGTTTGATAACTGCTTAGAAAGGTATAGTTTAATAACAATTTCCCAAATGATTTTTTCTAAATTCAGAGACCCTTTCTGGAGCTGCGTTCCCCCAGTGCAGATACTGTATCTTTTGTGGGATTGCACTTTTTCGGAATGGAGCCCTTGTCCAGTGTTTAGACTACTGTCAGACAGGCGAAAAAAAAAAAACACAAAGCGCCGCGTCTGGAACTTGGGAATCCGGGGAGTCGGGCAGAGTTTCTATGGTCCGCACGTGGACGAGACAGGTTATTCAATTTGAGAAGGGGAATTTATGGTGGCGACTGAACGTGATCCACATCTTATAAATACCCAAAGGCGTAGTATTCCATTAGATACTACCGAGAGTTCACTCATCTCAGCTGATCCGATCCAACACGCTCCAATCGAATGATAATCAAGATGCTAACGACTCATCCAGCTGATCGCAACTGAGTTGTGAATGATGCGTTAAGTCTGCTGATTTAATCAGTTTAAATAAGGCAACAATTCTATATATATTTATATTCGATTAGCTAGGGGCTGGTTCGGGAAATTTGTAATTAGTATATGCTAATAGGTAGAGGATGGAATCGGCGTAGAATAGAATTTTCATAACTTGCAATCGCTTTGACTATTTGAAATTCATGAAAAGTCACGCATATTAAAAGCGTTTTCATTGTCTACTTACAAATTTGCTTTCCCAGGGGAAATGATATAAGCTCATGGTATAACTTCCTGTAAATAGGGTTGACTATTTAATAGGGTTGACTTTATATAAGATCCGCATTATTTGGCTTTTGGTTTTGTATTTATTTTACGTGAGTTTGTTTTATTTATTTTTCTTAACAAGTGTGTTTTCTAATTTTCTTTTTATTTTTAATATTTGTTTTTCTTCAGCCACCATTTTGTTGTTGAATTGTCAATAGCGCAAAGAGCTTAAGAGATACAATATAACTGTTTTAATCTCTTAATTATTAATCAGCTTATTAATTCTGATGCAACCACAACTGGTTATTTGAAGGAACCCCCACGGTTGATAAGTTTGTTTACCCCTATTAATAAGTCACTTACCAAAATCTATTTTGCTTTCGAATCAACTGCAATTATCTGGAAATTTGTTGGGGACTGCGACTTAATTTGTGCTAAAATTGTTTGTATGCCCCGTAAACCGGAAAAATCTGCACTGAATAAGTATCTTGAAGATACAGCGGAATCTCCTTTACGTCAATCTCTTGGCCCGATCGCCCTGTATCTGTTTGGATCGTGCGAATGCCTTGACGTTGCCACCGAAACTGACCGTGCTTTTTCGACACTCGGCTTTTTGTCTTTCGGGTCTCTCGGGTTTTTCTAGCCAACCGACGAAGGCGGGAAAATCGTGCAAAATTTCCATACCCGCTATCAGAAAAATTCACGGGTATGTGGTATTTTTGGTGCAGGTGGGCGTTTTTATCTTCCTTTATAATTTGAAGAAATTATCTAGATCATCTTAATTAAAGAAATTAGTAAGATGTCATTAGAATCCCACATATTGAGGTATGACACTAAATATTTTAGCACTGGCTTATAAAATGACTCAATATTGAATGGGAATTTACCAACCATTAAATATATACAAATACTTTGAATGATTTTTTTGAACTTTCATCTGTTGCCAATAGATATAAAAGATAATAATAATTTATTGAAAATATTTTGGACTTATGGGAATATATACATTTCAAACAATCTTTAGCATTGGGTATTTTGTAGTTGGGAAAATCCGCTCTAGCTTCGTTTTGCGACGCTTCGTTTTCAGCGATCAAAAGTTCTATTGAACTTGGCCGCCATTTTAGAGGAAGGGGTTCTTCGATTGGGTTCTCGGCGGACTGACAGGTGTTACATGCACTATATGTTATATACCATAGCTTTGCAGTTATCTCTGGCAAAGAAGCGCGATCGGAGGTCGGAGAACGTGAGGTCTGGGGTTAACTCAGCAAGGTTTATTGGTCAGATTTATTTATGGCTTTTATGGCTGATTTATTTGCGCATTTTGCACTTGTCCATGCAAACTGCTAACTGACAGGCAAACGTGTTTCCGCTTGGCTACAGTTTTACAATTAAAATTGACATTTAATTGAGCTGCATTTCAGTGCGCAGTTGAAAATGGTTTTCCCATGAAAATTGTGAGGCACTCTGCCATCTCTCTTACTCAATTGGTCTCTACGCTTTCTAGTTCATTTCACTTTCTTCGCTCAGCAAATTGATAAGAGTCTGTTTTTGGGGTCAATCAAAAATTCTTGGGGGCTTGCTCTCAATTGAAATGAATTGAAATGGCGACAAGTTTGTTTGAACATAAGACACACAGGCACTCACATAACTAGAGGGTAAATTAAATGGCGGGGGATAACCTTGATTAATCTCTATCTGTTTGTATTTTCCTAAGAAATTCTATTGACAATTGTCGGTCAATATCAAAGCTCTTAGTAATCGGTGTGAGAGAAATAAATGAAGATTTAGAAGAGCCTAAAGGGTCTTCTTCGCTTTATTCATACTGATTCATCATTCTGCTTTCCTGTTCTTCTTCTTTTACTGTCTGCATTCCGTGTTGAACTCAGATACAGTGAAAAATCTATCCTTAAAACTTACCAAAAATTAGAAGAAAGGAGCTCTTTAATTAAAACGCATTAACATTTTCATATATCTTTTTGAATTCGAAAATCCCCTAACTTCTTAAGTAAGAAGAAACTTATTAACCTACTGAATATGTCGCACTCCAGTCAGAGTTAGGGAGTCTCTACTGTATGCTTAGCCAGTAAGGACAAGAACCTCAAGGATTTTGACCTCATTTGTCTGGGGCTGTGGAAACATGAGAACGTGAGATCAGGAGAGGCCAGGCCGCCTGGCAACTTCTGGGAAAGACCTGCCCCTCTTCTTGCTTTAATAGTTTGTATTGCCTTTTATTTGTTTGCCCAAGACGAAGAGACTGGGAAGAATATCCATTGAAATGAGCCGCGCATGCTCAGTGGAACAGAGACAAAAACTTGTTGCTAGGCGGCAAAAATCCCCCTTCTCCCCGGCGATCGTTTTTTTTTAAAGGTAATTCGAGAAGTTTCTTCTTGGTCTTTTTTATGGAGTTTGTATTCTAGGCCATTGGCTTTTGAGGTTGAACTCTTACTTTTATTTAAGCGAACAAAAACGTACTTGTACGCAAGGTTTTCATTTTGTGGAGGTTTACTTTTCAATGAACTTTTTATGAACTTTGCTTAGTGGCCAAACCGAACTGCTTGGTGGTGAAGCTTGAACTAAACTGGTACAGACTTTGATATGTTTGGATTGCCCACAACTCATCTTGTGCAAAAAGTGTTATCTTCTGGAGATAGCTGATGTTTCAGCGGAAAAGGCACTAAAACGGTCGGACAATCTACGTAAATACGTCAAGAGCGATGTATTTTTGGCTCCCCTATGTCTTAATTTTTATACGACATGTTTATTTGGCAAACTCCCGCCAAAGTTCAGTAAATAGATCGCGTGGAGCTCTGTTTACTGGGTCTTCACAAATGTCGACGGTCTGCCCGACACCCATGTGATCCTTCTGCGATTCCGCATGGACAGATACCGGAATTATATGACCAAGTTGTTATTTAACGGATGACTCAACTTCAGGGTGAAGTCTGGCCGATAACCGATAGCGAAGACATTCGCGGAACTTAATCAGTGGAACTGGGGAGACGACAAGCGTGCTAAATATAGGCGCCACCATGGGGATTTCCCCTATGAACTTAGATAAGACTACAGTGAGCATAAAAATTATTTCTTTTTTTACTGAAAAATGTTGTTCTCAAAAAACAAAAGGTGAATGAACAAAACAACAACTGTATAAAATATATATGAATTTTAAAAAAAATTAAGTGAAAAATATTTTTACAATACACAAAGAAAACAATAAAAATATGTTCCAAATACTTTGACTTCGGCTTTTTATGACGCTATTCATTTTAATTTTAGAATACAGAATGGTTTTTAAAAAAGCATGAGACATTGCAAAATAGTTTTCCACAAATATAAAATTATTTTTATGATGTATCACGCCATCCATTCTTAAAATATCATTAAAATCTGTGGTTCAATATTTGGGTTATCTAAAATTCAAACTAATTTAAGTTCAAACTGATGAGTGAAATGATTCCTCAAAATAGACAACTTGGTGGTTGAACTCAAGTCACTCAAAGGACAGCCACCCCTATTGCGACTCATCTTTAGGTGCAAAATTCCCTGATAATCCTCCCTTGTCTTCCGTACCCATTAATTGGAAAAAAACCACCCAGACAATCGCAATATGTTGACCCTATTTTTGTCGGTAAACAGATATTGCGACTCGTTTCCGATTTTTTGCCGTGGCATTTCGAGGTCCAGGGGCGGATACAGGTATCTGCCTGGGGGGGGGCGATCAAAATTTTTTTTTAAACAATGCAAGTAGCAGGTGGCAAATAATCAAAAATTATACGCAGTTTTATTCAAAACACTCTGTACAAATAAATTAATTAATTTTAATCTAAATGGCGAATTCCATTATTCTTTTCCCTCTTTTTAAAAACTTTTCTATAACTCTCTCGATGTGAATACTGATTTCGGAATGCGTATGTAGCAATGCTAGGCTAGTTAGTCTTAGGAGGAGCGATAGACAAGGGAAGAAGTAGGGCAAGGAAGGACTGGCGACACGCTGTAACACGCAGGTTTCCGAAGTTCACGCCAGTGAAGCACCTTTTTTCAGAAGCTGAGGGGGGCGATCGCCCCTATCGCCCCCCCTGTATCCGCCACTGTCGAGGTCAGTAATGATACAATGGCACTGTTTTTACTAACAGTTAACACTTAACACCCGAGTTCAGCACTCTTCTACCGACTCGGGTTCGGAATGAGATCGAGAGCGAGGACAACTCACCGGAAAATTGAAATGGCTCGTGACTCAGGCAAATTCCGCGCTGACAAATGGGAGAAATTCGCTGGTTTGTTGAGACGATTGGGGGGCACTATTTGTTGGATCGCTGCTAAATTCAGCCACTGCGAAATATTGCTTTAACACGATATTGCTATATAGTCACACAACGCTCTCGTGTTAATTATCCATGAAGGGCTACATTGGAAACGCACTGAGTAAGGTGTATATAACTTTTTCCGGATTTCACTCTCTACTCGATTGGTTTAATAGTGGTTCTTGGGAACTCGACACACGTTTCTTTCGATTTAAACTTTTGTGGCACTTTAGATCATTGGGGATTTTGTTGCTATGCGGCTTGTTTGAAATATCAGCGGCAAGTAACTAATTATACAGCGTGGTCGAATATATGTAATGTGCTGCTTGAGTGTTTTATGGGAGAGTTTTGTAGAACGCGAGAACGTGGCGTTTTTTTTTTAATATTATTATTTAAACTGAGCGTTGCGCGATTCTCTTTATTTCATGTATGTTGGACGTATTTTTAGCGTCGGCAATTGCACATCCAAGTGAAATTGAAAAGATAACAACGAATTAAAAACTTGAGTTCAACACGCAAGACAGATTTTCCTTCCGTTTCAACGATGAGCAGCGGAGAGACTGATATGGTGGATCCAAAGCCGAAGAGTTTTACGATCGCTCGGAAACAGTGGATTTTCACTCAACTCAAGAGAAGAGGGCGGTTATCGGTTCGGTCTGTCCGCAGAAAGTACGAGAGCAACCACTCAACTTACACTAGACTACATAAAAGTGTGATAAGAACATACACGAAAAGAAGGTGATATTACCCTAAGCAATTCAGAAAATTCTTGCAATCATATTCTGACTTAAATTTACAAAAATTATATTATTTGGAAACCTAAATGAAAAATACCTAGTAAATTCCAAAATATTTATATAAGCTCAGAACATTTTGAACGCGTTCTATGCCTCTTATCATGAAACTGTTCTTTTGTAGTCCAGTGATCGACTCTTTCTTTCTCACTCAATTAGCCACCGGTGAGTGAGTAATTTCACCTTGCTCTCGATACTCTCATTGCTTTTTCCACTCCGATCTTTTTCACTTGGCAACGGAACTCTCTCACACTTTGCGAATTGATTTTCATGTGCATATGTAAATTGAACAGTTATTCGTGACGTCTACTCCGCTATCGGTTTCAAGTGGAACTCCGCCCTCAAATCTTTACTCCCAACCAAACGAGCAAACAAAACGTGCTGCGATAAGACCCCAAAATATGGCGGAAATGCTTTTAGACTGATTAATTTGGGTACCTTAAAACTGGCTCGGAAATTAGCGAAACTTCGTGGATAAATAGTAGGAAAAAGTACCGTTTGGATTTCTTATCGCTGATTTACCTGAACAAACAGTCGCATCCACTCCAGGTGCAATGAGTAATCCGCTACCAAAATAACACCTGAGCGGAAGGAATTTAAGCGAAGCGAATGGTCGAGCTGCCAACAAATTAAACTGAAAAAGAAAGGACATTTTATTATGATATTATTATTTATCGGTTGAATCCAGGCATCTGCTCAACTTAATATGCAAATTCGCGACATTCCCTGCTTTCACATTCCTGGGTTTATTTTACTTTTTAATCACCAGCAATCCAGATTTCAGAATTCTTTTTAATACCATATACCCGTTGCTCTTTAGAATCATTCTGTGTAGTCTTGAGTTAGAACTTTGGAGATGACTTTGTGGCTGGCAGTGACGCAACTGGTTCCATAGTGTAGCGGTTATCACGTCTGCTTTACACGCAGAAGGTCTCCGGTTCAATCCCGGATGGAACCAGGTGGAAAATAGATTTTTTTATTTTTTAGTTACTTTATAAGAAATTAACTCTTTCTATTTGTAATTATATTTCTTTAATATACATACTTGTTTTTCGTTTTCTAGAAAAAAATGGCTCAGAAAATCTTTACTTTGTATCCATCTTATTGGAGGGGGCACCACAGTATTTTTTCAGTTGAATAGTATTTGCTACACTTCAAACTTATTAACAAATAAAAAAAAAAAAACTTAAAAAAAAATCCACTTGGTTCCATCCGGGATCGAACCGGAGACCTTCTGCGTGTAAAGCAGACGTGATAACCGCTACACTATGGAACCAACATGAACGACCTCGTTCTAAATGTCAGTTTTGATTCTTTTGAGTGATAAAAGCTTATAGCCTGCTTTAAAGGGAAACTTTATGATTATATTATAGTGATCTGTAATATTTGTTACCTTTATTAATCGGACTTAATTGTTTGCCCAGAAAAACAGAAAAAGTTTCAGTGAGTATCATTATATGTTTATTTAAAAGCCAAGAGCACATCAGTAATACCTTATGTTTGTGCCTATTCGAGTAAAATCTGCTACTTAGTTATAAGTATTAAAAAATAAGCATAAGCTAAAAATTAAAATTACAAACACAGTTGTAAATGTACTGCACCGTTGTTCAACCTAAGCATAAAAATATGTCCTAAACAATAATTCAACAAAAACTAACGCTTAACAAAAAGGAAATTCGCTGAGCAAATGAACTTGAGGATGTAGAAAATCAGGATAAGCAGGAGCAGAAACCAAAATTGGACGCGCAGACCGCTGAGGATGTGCAGCTGGACTAGCAGGCGATTGCCCTTCCAAAATTCACTTCAATATCGCCTGGCTGTTGTTGGTCGCGGAACTCCCGAAGTCCTTGGTCTTGCGGATTTGGAGCGCAGAGGATTGGACACTCCATCGGTGTTATAGCTAAGATACACATGCGATAGATCCAGGAAGTCCGGTTCCTTGCCACTGGTCTTGTGAGCTGAAATGTGTTTCCTCATATTGTTTCCTGTGTAGGCCACACACTTAAGCTGCCACTCGCCGATGTCCTCGTTCCAGTGGGTATACTGATTAATCATCGATTGGTACTCCTTCGGAACATAGGAATTCAATACCAGTTCACAGAGCGCCAATTCTCTGGACAGGCTTCTTATGTTCTCGTAGATCCCCTCCTTCTCACGCTGGTGCTCCTGCTGCTGATCTGCTAGCTCCGATTTTACTCCCATCAACATTTGCATCACCCGATGTATCTTTTTCGTGATGCCAGTGCTTGCATCTTGCAGCGTGGAATACCGCTCCTCAATGTCGATTCTTTCGGTGGCCTTTTGCTGTAGGGTCTGCTTCAGTGCCTCCTCGGATTTTTCATGTTTTTCCAGCTCAGCAATGGATTGCTCAAGCAGCATCTCCTGGGTTTGGGCCTTCTCTAAAAGATTCTCACCGCCTACGAGGATTTTTCCCTCCAAGGAGACCAGTTTATTGCGAAGCGTTTCCTGCTCCGTTTTAGCGTGCTCGATTTCCTTCTGGTGTTCGTTTTTACGCTGAGCCAGTTCCTCTTTCTCAGCGTCGGTTTTCTCTCGCTTCTTCTTTGGTTTCTTTTCAGGGGCTTGGACTGTAGAAGATTCCATTTCAATCTCCAGGGGAGCCTCCAGCTCATCATCAGCTGTGTCCTCTTCTTCCTCGGAGCTCGGCGGCTCCTCCTCCAAGCTGCTGCCCTCCTCCAGCTGCTTTCGTAGCCGTGCAATTTCCTCCTGAAAGTGACGCAACAAAGCATCCTTGGGTTCTTCGTTGATGTGCATGCGATTCTGGATGTTCTTAGCACGACTGGCATAGCGCAAAGTGGATATGGTTTCCATATAGTTGCTGTCCGCTGGACTAATGGTGGCACACATCACGGTCTTGGAATTGCCACCCAGGGAATCCTGTAGGAGTCGGGTAAGCTTGGAGTTCCTGTATGGAATATGCGTGCTCTTTCCATCAACCAAAGCACTGATGACATTTCCCAGAACCGAGAGTGAAAGATTGATCTTTGTGGCTTCCTTCAGTCTCTGTCCACTGGCCTGAGTTTTGGACTGCCTTTCGGAACCGGCAAGGTCCACCAACTGTAGTTTTCCCATCCGCACATGTTGCGCTCCTCCTTCCGCCAGCTCACTTCTCTCCACAGTTATTGAGAAAATGGCATGGGATCTGGAACTCTCCTGATTCATCTTGGTGGCTCCCACAGCTCGGTTTTTATTTCCCAATCGCATAATATTCTCCAGATCATCGGCGTTGTGCACCACATAACCGCTGAGATCCTTGACAAAGACTCCAATATCGGGTCTTTCCTTAACCTCAAGGCTTTTGCCGACATCCTTTCCGAGCAGATCCCGCACCTCCTCGTTATATATCTCCATATAACTGACTCGCACCAGAAACTTCTGGTTTTCCTTGGCCTTTGCAATATGCCCAAAGATATGGGCAAATGCATTTGGAATAATGCCCTTTGTCTGCGGGGAATCGGGATTTCCGGACATGGTATAGGTTTTTCCCGTGCCCGTTTGTCCGTAGGCCAGAATGGTGCCATTGTAGCCTTCCAGAACCTTGTCCACAATGGGTCGAGCGGTGTCCACATAGAGATCCATTTGATTGGACCCGCCATCGAAAACGTTATCAAAGTAGTATGTTTTCGGTGGTTCATTGGCCGTGGCATTAGGCTTCATCACTGTAATGGCCCGATTGATTTTATCCACCGAAATTGCACTTAGCGCTCCGGCGGACAATTCATTTTTATCCATGGGCCTTGTCCGCACCACCACACGCACATTCTCGATTTCGTCATCGAGCTGAGCCGTTGTTCCGGTATTTCCCTCATCCTGCGGCATTATGATAATGATTCTGCCTCTCTCTGCTTTGTTCCTTGTCGAGTTCGAATAATTAACCACTTTTTGCGCTGTTCGCACTTAGTGGAAATCAATATATGGGGTTTTTCTTCGCATTTGTTTATGCGTTGCTAGGTTTTTTTTGCGAATGATTAACCGACGGGTAGTCAGCTGTTATCGATAAGTGGGGAGTGCGAAAATCGAAAGAAAAACAAACGAGAGAGTTGCCAGACTAGCGAAAAACTGTATTCATCGGTAGAACATCCCAATTGGAAAATACCAAATCAAAAAACATAGAATGTGTTTAATTTAGTTGTAAATTTAAAAAAAAAAATACAACGAAATATTGTTTTTACAAACCATTTTTGATAAACATTTGCGTTGTAAAATTACAAGAATAATAAAGCATCTTGGAAGTTCTCATGAACACCATATTGGGACTTTTAAAAATAACGTACTGCCCCCAAAGTTCTGCAAAGTTTTTAAATTAACTGAACAGATGTTTTGTAAAAAATCATACAGGTGGTTGTTAAAAATTAGATTCATCTTAAAACCAACAAGTGGTTCGAGTTGGACAATTAGGAATTCTTGAGTTTTATAAATCTTTATGAGATAAGATACAAAATTAATTTAAATACATTTGATTTTACGATTATAACCTATACTAAAAACTAATGTTCTTAAAACTAATATATAATATAAATATATAAATATGTATAAATAGTAATAATTTAAATATTATTTAATTAAAAATACCTACTATCGCCCTTACCGATAAAACCCTCGCATCGGCGAGTGGAAAAGAAGAGAGCGAGTAAACATCTGCCCACCACCTCCGCGATTGAGAGAGCCCCGAAGAAGAGGAAGACGTAGTGCCAGTGGAACTGAAAGATTCGATTGGCGATTGGCTGCCCCAAAGAGTTTCCTTTACACGACCAGACGACGCAGAAATTACAACTCCGGCCACCATGGCAGCATTGGGACGATTCCATGGCTTGAGATTGCTGAAATCCGCGCCAGCACTCAACCTGCAGCAGGTAAAGATCGGGAGCTACGAAGCCAAATTTTCCATGCCCAGCGACCATCTCGAAAAAAGTCTTGTCAAATGGAGAAAAACCGCAAATAATACAACTCCATCCGAGGATACGAAATGATAAACAGCTTAAATGAATTGAAAAGTGCATAACATCCGGGATACCTAATCTTTTGGGTTGCCCGCTGCAAAGATACGAACCGAACACCTCAATTATGTAACTCCGTGCGAAAATTCGTACTCTCCTTTGCCGACCGAGAAACTTAAACCGTATTTTATTTCCTTGCAGGCGAAGAACCTCTCCTCTGCCGGAAGTTGGGCAAGTAACAACAAGAAGGTAAGTTTGCAAGTCAGGAATCCCAGTTCCCCAGTTGGCATTTCATAATACCCGAGCGGCCCTAACCTCAAAACGCGTTTGCTTCTCGGTGACTGTGTGCGGATGTTCGTGTGTGTGTGCATTCGGCAAACAGCTGATCGGAGCTGTGGGAGCGATTACCGGCGGAGTAGGAGCCCTCCTCTTCGCGCTGGAACAATCCGTGCAGGCCTCCGGCGGTGAGGTGCACGCCCCCGCACAGCCCTGGTCCCACAAGGGCCTCTTCGACGCCCTGGACCACCAGAGGTAAGGATTATTGAAGGAAACTCACCGGCTAAACTCCAATAAGATCTTAAGAACACAACTAAAAACCACTGTGAGCGTTTTAAAACTTTTAAGAAGGTCTGAATTGGCGCATATTATTCTTCAATCAATATGCAATTTTAATTTAAATTGGTAAACAATTTTTATGTTCCTCATAGATAGATTCGTATGTATGTACATAGGTATTTCAGAAGTTTGATTGACATTATTAGTTTTTCTACGTAAATATTTCAAAGGCTTTCTTGGAGTATATTTATTGATAACTTTTCCCAGCTAAGACCCTATATATCCCCTACTGTTATACTGTTATACTGTTAGATACTGTTAATATCCAATTCGATTTTTATTCATTTTTCAGCGTTCGTCGCGGCTACGAGGTGTACAAGCAGGTGTGCTCCGCTTGCCACTCGATGCAATACATTGCCTACCGCAACCTGGTTGGTGTCAGCCACACCGAAGCCGAGGCCAAGGCTGAAGCCGAGCAGATCACGGTTAGTCTTGAAAAGTGTTCCATTATTTAAATAGTTATTTACTAATTTACTTGTCCGGCGAATAGGTCAAGGATGGTCCCGATGACACCGGCAACTACTACACTCGCCCCGGCAAGCTTTCGGACTACTTCCCGTCGCCTTATCCCAACGAGGAGGCGGCCCGTGCTGCCAACAACGGTGCTTATCCACCGGATCTGAGCTACATCGTGTCGGCGCGCAAGGGCGGAGAGGACTACATCTTCTCGCTGCTCACGGGCTACCATGATGCTCCTGCCGGAGTGGTCCTGCGCGAGGGCCAGTACTTCAACCCGTACTTCCCGGGAGGTGCCATTTCCATGGCCCAGGTGTTGTACAACGAGGTGGGTTGTCTATCAGATTACTTAATGGTTTCCTATATTGTTTATTTTAATGGATATATGTTTTTTTTAGGTCATTGAGTACGAGGACGGCACACCGCCGACGCAGAGCCAGCTGGCCAAGGATGTGGCCACTTTCCTGAAGTGGACCTCCGAGCCGGAGCACGATGACCGCAAGCAGCTGTTGATCAAGGTGATCGGCATCCTCGGCTTCCTGACCGTCATCTCGTATTACATTAAGCGACACAAGTGGTCATCGCTCAAGTCGCGAAAGATCGTGTTCGTGCCCAAGGAGAAGTAGAATGTTTGAATTTGATTTTGATGGTGTGAAGAATTGCAGTGTTATCGCGGCTTTACCGACTAATAAAGATAAATCAATTTTAAGCAAAACCAAACACACAAAAAACAGCATCCGCAACCACCAAGTCAATGTTCTCTCTCCACGAAAATAAAAACACAAGAACTATGCAATTTGCGAGAGCCAACGATACGATCCAAATAAAACTAGCTAAATCTATAACACCTTGGTCATGCCAATACCAAACGAAGAACAGATCGGATTAAGAGGGGGATAAAAGCTAAAGAAACTACCAGAGCCTAGCAAAATAAATGATGGATAATATAACATTGATTGTGTATAGCATGGATAATTCAATTATGTATTTAAAAAATAAACGATTGACAAATAAACGGAAATGATTGTTGGAAAATCATTTCAGAGAGACGGACAGCATATTCCTTTTAAAATTTCATAGATGCAAAAATGATTACAACTTTAGGAAGTTATAATCAATGTTTTTAAAACCCATTTTAAATTACCCCTTTACAACAAATACCGAATACCGAAAGTTTTTTAAATTTTAATGCAGGACCCTTAATTATTTCTCGGAGAAAAACATGTGGAATACATGTCGCCATTTATATAGGAATTTTCCCTTATAAGAGACGACTTATCTTCTCCACTTTTACTATTTTTATTGGATTAATTGTTTTATTTAGAAGCTTAAATTAAAGTATTATTTTAATCATCGTTTATCATTCTGTCCACTCGATTTCCTCATCGGCTTAGTGTGTTTGTGTGTTTCTATATATATCTATAATTTCCACTTTCAATGATTATAAATCGCGTCTCTCGTCCCAAGCGATTCGGGAGGAAGATATAGAAAAAAATAAAAAAAATCAACGAAAGAATCTGCTTCCTCAATAAAAAACTTTCGTACTGGCGCCGTCTACAAAAATTCCGTTCGACATGTTGTTTGTTGTTTTATTTAAATTAATATATATTTTGCTTTATGTATATAATTAATAAATTTTTAGTTTAGGCAAAAACAATAATTACGCTTCTCTTTTCAAAGATCTCGACTCTTAAGCTGTGATCTCATTTAAACTTTATCATTTTCATGCGTTGCTTTTCGACTTTAGTTTTTACTTGCTGAGTTGAATTTATAAACTGATTTTTTTGCATCTTTCTCGTAGGCATTTACTTGTTTCTCTTGCTGATGTTTTATTTCCTATTAAAGAAGTTGTTTGTTGGGACTGAAGTAGAAGTAAAGTAACCAAACACGATGACATAGTTCATGACGGAAGGGACGACGACGACCTTTTCATAGTGACGCTTCTATCGCATTTTTCGCTGCTGTTCCCTTTACTTATAGTATAGCTTGCATTTGGTTGTTGTTCTTGCCACAATAACCGCACTCGATCTTTATTACGTTCATTATAATCATTCGCTGCCGCCAAGAGCAACTCGAAGGAGCAGCCGGCACACAATCTCTTCCGCGAATGTGAGGACCTTGGTCTTGGACTTTGACTGATGGGGGTTTCCTGCTATTATTGAATGTGACGGTTGCTCCCGCTGTAGTTGCAGTCGTTGCTGCTGCAGCTGCTGCTGGTGTTGCTAACGGATGTTTGTCGACTAAAAACAGCTTCCTTCTGGCGGCTGTGCCAGCTTCAGGTTCTCTTTCATGGTCATAATCCTACGGATTTCCTGCAGCATCGTTTTTATAGTGTACTCACGACTCCACCTGGCCAACATCTGAACTGATCTATGATCAACCTGTGGGAAATTCAATAAAACCATTAGCATACATTTGTCGTTCAACACGCAATCCCATTGGTTTACTCACCACTCCATTGTTCTGGTTAATGCAGTTAATGTTTACTTTAGTTAAAAACCTGAGCGTCGGTGGCTCATCCGGATAACGTTCGCCGCACTCAATCTTTAGTGAATACATTCGATTCTCGAATGGTGTCTGTAAGCACAAGAAATTCCAAAATTACCATTTAATAAGTCTCGATTATACGCTAAATACTGTATGCAATTACGGGCCAGAGTGCCGATGAGTCAGGCAACCATTTTCGTACGCTTTATATTTTTCTACTGCTACTGCAACTAAAACCGTGTTGGGGCTCTGTTCGGAGACCCTTCCACCCTAACTCCTCAATGATTCATGCGGCGGCGCGCGCAACACTCCTAGACTATACAAAAAATAAATGCAAATTTAGTTTCCTTTTCCGTTTTCTTGTAAGAAATTACGAAGAAAGCCATTTTGATTAATTATTTGTTATAAGATGAAGAAATTTCTAATTAACTTTTGTGGTGGATCAGCTTTCTTAATATCGAACTTTTCAAAACAACTTCAGATCGACATTTAAATATTAAACTGTTTCTCAACTATGAAATAAAATCAACATTTCAAGACATAAACCAATTAGAACTTCCTATCGCGTACCATAAAGTAATTTGGCACCGAAAACACCTGACAATGAGTTGCATCAGAAAGATGCTAATCAAATGTAAATATGGCCAACTTTCCATCTCTCTAACTAAATAATAAAAAAAACTCAAAAGATACGGAATTTCCGAGTTTTACGCAACCTAAGCGATAAAATGTCAATAATCCTACCGAAAGTACTGATAAATTGGGCTTATCTAGTGACGTAGCATACAGAAAAGCTTGGAAGCACCATCAACTACTTCGATCGGAGTGGAAACTTACTCTAGGCGGACCGATGATCATGCCGATCCAGTAGGTGAGCGTCATGTCGTCGTCATTCTCCAGTCCCCACGATATGGTGCCATCGCCCACGCCCTTCTGGCCCTGATCCAGCTCCTCCAGTAAGCGGAAATTTCGTGGCACCACTGCAAAGTGAAAAAGAAAGAGGTGAGAAATCAATGTCAATGGATTTTTGCTTAGGAACTGTAATATAAATACGGTCATTAAATGTGTTAGCGGCCTATTATTTTCTTGATGCACCGAGAAAAGGCCACATTATCAGTAAAGTTATGAGCTATTAAATAAAAAATATCAAGTCGCGCAGTTTATTGATAAGCAAACAAACCTTACGTTTGTTAGCATAATCAAACATAAAAATATTTGTTCTTTTGATAATGGCGTGTGTAAAGAAGTTTAAAAAATCTTAGTTTAAAATTTAGTAGACTATACAGAATTTTGAAGGAAGCAGAATATGTAGGTTTTATTTTGTTATACATTTTCTCTCAGTGTGGGGTCATATGGGTCCGTCTTGTTGTTGTTTGCGCTTTGCGTCTTGTGTTGTTTTTGTTTTCGCCCGTGTGACTTTGCACGCATTTTCGTGCAGAGAACACACAAAAAAAAGTGCGAATGAGTAGAAATCAAAAACACAGGGCGGCGGAAGGGTGTGTCGGCGGGGGGGCCGAAGAAACATAATTTCTGCATTTGCAAAAACAATCCAAGCAAATGTAATTTGCAGCTAATTTAATTAGAAAAAGAAGGGAGCTTGCAAAACGCAAGTGTGCAAAAAAAAAACTCAAAAGTAGGAAGGCAAGAAGAAGAGTGTGCGAGTGAGACAGAGACAGAAGGAGAGAGGGTGGAGTGCGGGGCAATATTTCGGAAAATGTCAAGTCACGACGCGAAATTGCAGCGGAGTTTTTCCAAACGGAAAAGCGGCCAAAGAAAATTGCAAGAGCGGCGTGGCCTGCCCGCAAAAAAATATCCATTCGCCCGTTTCGCTTTTATCGGCTTTCGTCTTTCGCCCTTGCTTTCTCGTCTTCTTTTTCCCCCCGATTTTCACACACACACACATTGCGGTTCGCTTTTCACGCTCTTTACGGAGGAAAAATCGGCGCCGGGTGGCTGGAAGTGCGGAAAACGGATGGCCAATACTTGCAGGCACGTGAGGATCGCGTTTGTTCGCTGCCAAAACGTTAATTTATCAATTTTATTTCTTACCAACGCCGGTACTTGATGTATTCGCCATTGTGGTTAATGCTAGAGTGTTGTGTGGCCAGATCTGGTGAGCTAAAATATACCAACCGGGACCCATTCAGTTAAAAATACTGTTTCCGCCAAACAAGTTTCTGTAGCTTTTAAGCGAGTGATTAATTAAAAATTGAAAATAGAATATCTTATTCATTAAAAAAAATTACATTTTTTAAAACTCAATCATAAAAATGTTATTTATTATGTTAACTCATTAATTAAAAAAAAAATGCAATAAACGTATTTTTGTATTCATTAAAAAGCTTAGATTTTAAGCGAGTGATTGATTAAAAATTGAAAATAGATTGTTCATGAAAAAAATTAAATTTTTTTTATTTTTTTTTTTTGATATATTATCTAAAAATGTAAGCTTATTTAAAATTGATTTATTTCAGAACTTTATATTAAGCAAACTAAATATGGTCCCATAGAAAATACCAAATCTGCCGACAGCTGCTCTGTTATCAGCGCTGTTGAGTAACATGACACTCTGTCCAATGCTACGCGTCAGCTTTTTAAACAAACCAATTTCGAGGGGTATTAAAAATTAATTGGCGAATACACCGGTTAATAACTAATACAAAATCGATAGCGGAATCAAGATGGAAAGTTTGTACCACCAAACCAATAACGCGGTGAAGGAAATTGAGCGGGACTTCCAGCAGCTGAGTAAACTCGGTCCCCAGGAATCCCTCGACGTGGAAAATGGGATACAAGTGAAGATTACCCAAGCAAATTCGTGGGTATAAGCACATACGTTGCAAAGAATAGCATTAACTATAAAATATATTTTCAGTAACTGCGATCGATTAGATGTGCTACTCTTTAAAGTGCCGCCTTCCCAAAGACAAAGTTCCAAGCTCAGAGTAGACCAACTAAAATATGACCTGAGACACCTGCAGACATCTCTTCAAACCGCCAGGGAACGAAGGCAACGGCGAATGCAGGAGATCTCGGAACGGGAACAACTTCTTAATCACAGATTTACGGCAAATAGTTCTCAACCGGAGGAAACGCGTCTTCAATTGGATTACGAACTGCAACATCACACCCAGTTGGGAAACGCCCACCGAGGAGTAGACGATATGATAGCCTCGGGCAGTGGCATCCTCGAAAGCCTAATCTCACAAAGAATGACACTAGGTGGTGCCCACAAACGAATCCAGGCTATTGGTAGCACATTGGGCCTTTCAAATCACACCATGAAACTTATAGAACGACGACTGGTCGAGGATCGTCGTATATTCGTCGGCGGAATGGTAGTCACTTTGTTTATCATCGCTCTGATTATCTACTTTTTAGTGCTCTAAAGACAAGCAGCTCGTTTAGGCGAGTTTAAATTAAGTGTACTCTATTCTGTTAAAAGTTAAATGCACAATTATGAGGGTGTTTTGATTAATCATCGCTCTCCAGGGAGATATTGCTACCGAAACGCTGGTACAAATGGGCCTTCAGCTCATCCATTTCGGCCTTAATAACCTTGGCTTTGGCCTCAACGCTCGCGATCTCCTTGAGCACCTGATCCTTGGTTTCCTTCAGCAGGTCCTGGGTTTTTTCCAGCTTGTGCGAGAGGAAGACCTCGCCCACCATGAACGGTATGTCTTCGTCCTCGTCAAACAACTCGATCTCCTCTAGCGCCTCCTCCACGCATTTCAGCTCGTTGCGTTTCGTTTCCAGCTCGGCCTTGAATTCATCCATGCGAGCATTGTGCTTGGCAAAGCGGTTGATGCGCTGCTGGTCCTCGAAGGAGATGTGCACATCATCGTGCTAAAAATTAGAACCAATAAAGATTATTGCACTTTTGTGTACGTTTTGTAACCGATCAATAAAGGCACAAGACATAATGGTCATATCCAATTTAAAGGGTCGGGTGTAAGATTTTTAAGTGCCTTCTATTAGAGTACATTTTTTTTAGGTGACCACCGGTTCACCCACAAAGTGAGGTTACTTTTTATCCCCATCAGCTGTCCGTTGATGATTCACCAATACTTACATTCTGGAACACCTTGTTCGTACCGCTCGCTACTTTTGCTGCCATTTTATAATAGTTTTCAATATATTTAATAAATAAATTATGCTGTTTTACAAACAGTTGCTGTTTTCTAAGCAAAAATGTATGATTATTTGGTTTAGTGTTGTTAAACGCCAGCATATAACATAAGCAGATAATGCGTTAGGGTAATTTTTAAATGTTCTGTTTTCTAGCTATTTTGATATCCTTTTTTTGTCCTATTTAAAAGTTAGAGAGATTTATCAAATAAAAGTTAAAGTTTAAGTAAAAGAATGGTTGTTTATATATTTACTAACATTTTGTGAGATTATTTTAAGTTATTTACATGAAGACAAATGTGTCAGCACTATAACAGACGTGTTTACATAATTATCGCAGTTAACAGTGTATGTAATGTGTATAAAACGCATAAAATGTTGTGTAAATTACATATAACATACATTAGGCCGCTTAACCAAATTATTTAAAACAAATTTAATAAATTTTCATAAGGTCTTTTTAAAATGTAAATCACTAATTTTCGAAACTTTTATTTGAAATTCATTTAAATAAAGAAAAGTAAATAGGTTACAAAGTTAAACAGGTTCAAAATTCAAAATGGTTTTTTATTTGTAACAAAAAAGTATAAAACTCCAAGAGAAATATATTGCATCCGTAATTTTCCCTAGCTACGTGCATATTTTTGTCATTTATTCGCCTCGAATTAAGCCCACCACACAGCTAATTAGTCAAAGTTATTATTGCTTCCTTTCGTCCATTCGATTTAATCACTAATTGTTTGCACATGTCACAAATTAAGCAAAAACTAATAAATTATTCCAGTTAATCACCGTAATTAAACGGGATTTCTTCACCCGATGCAATTAAATTTCCGTTTGCAGCTTAGGAAATTCCTTTTCCCCGCCGCTCTGCTTCTCAGTGAATTCCACGATTTCATCCGCATTAAGCGGAGTTTTTCGGATGGAGAATGCATTTGCCACTTTCATTTCCCCTTCGGAATATTATCAAAATATGCAAATGCAATTAGACGGAACTTAACATTATCCATTTAGGGAGTGAGAAATTGCAGGATGTTTGCGGAGGAAGAGAGAGTGTTAATATCCTGAAGATGACTTCGCTTTTCCTTTCGCTTTTCCGGCGCAAATCCCTTTGGGCTTTGTCATTTTACAAATTGGAATCATTTCGGTTTTTGGCAAATATTTGCAATACGAAGAGGGATAAATGAATACATAAGGATGCCCTTGGCAGCAGTTTCTGCAAATTGAAGCCTAATTTATTGAATTTGTATCGCATCGATTGCAATTGAGCGATGGAAAATCGTTGTTTACAGCAACAAGTTGTATCTACATAGGTATCATGTATACTGAAAATTGCATCAGTTTATTAGTTTAGCCTTCCAATCAGATTGAGCTTAGCCTGGCCTACAAATGGTTGCCTTTAAATAAACACTATTGATTTCGTTCAATTTATGTTGGATGTTGTACATATGTTTTTGTTTACACAATAGTTTGTAGATTTTATTTGACATTTACAGGGATTTATTGACGGACAATATCAATAATTCTTGTTATGTGATTTTCTTTTAAAAAATACAGAATCTAATAGAGGTTAGAAAAGGCTTATTTAATTTTAAAGTTTCTGTTAACTTTTTCTTAATTATGAATTACTTTTTAGTAAGCAGATAATACAACTGAAATCACATACAAAATTAATGTAAACAACTTCGGCACTACTTAACTATGCATTTGGTAAAATCAGATAGCTTTGCCCAATAAACGATACAAATCGTAGGATTGTGTGTCCTTTGCTGCCTCCGATTGAATTACTTCCCATTGACCCACTTTCGGGTCATCAAGTGATGCCCACATCGAGTGTCGCACATATGGGCCGAGTCCTTGGTAAAAGGATTCAGCCCGCCCCTCATCTTCTCATCTGCCGAGCGTTCTTCTCCAGTGCGTGAATGCTGTCACACGAGGGAAATCAAAAGACATGGCGTCAATCAGTTTTCCACTAAACCAGGCAGAAGACGGGCTCTCCTGCGGGCTCTTTGCTTTCTCCTTTCCCTTTTAAAGTCCTGTGGATTTTTCCTCTCACCCGATCTTCATCAAGTTGCAGTAGTTAAAGGTTCCTCCCCCCTTCGAAAGGGTAGTTAAACTTTGCTTAGTCGGGCTATTGATATATTTCGGGAGCTTCGGTTGCTATTTACATTGGACAACTATTTCATTGTTTGTCCATTTTGCAGGATGGATGTGCTTTGATTTCGATTTCATTGCACACAGGTGCGCTTCGGTAAATGCTGTTTGATCGAGCCAACTATTTGTAGTTGTCCTGCAGCAAGGGTTTTACATTCAGCAAAAAATATTTCCCTTGCTTTGAGTTTCAGATTAAAAAGAATATTTCCCACACTCGCAAATATTGCAAAGTTCTGAATGTTCTTATTTATCTTCGCAATGTATTCTTTAAAAATTATTATTTATGTGGATGTCTTGCTAGAATTTTGTTCTGAGCATTTGCATTTGCCCGCACCTTTTGTTTTTTGTTTTGTAGTTGAGATATGCCAACTCCTGTTTAGTTGCTGCTTCTATTTGTGGTTGTGACAAACTTTGGTTCTTGTTTATCTCTTGGAAGTGTCGTACTCTACTCCCGAAATTGTTGATATTTATTTGGAAGTTCGGCTTGAATATGCATGCTTTAAATTTAAGTTCACCCCAACGGAATAAGCGCCCACTGCAAATTGAGTTAACATCCCTGGGTTCTCATTTCGCATTCCGTTTTCGTGCGTCTTTATTTTCTGGATTCGATTGCAATTTGTGTTATTAAAAGCCGCCTCTGTATGGGGTCTCAGCTATGGCTTTAATGCGTTAATTTATCACGCCAGCAGTCTCCAGAGCAGCTCTATATGGCTGCTTATACTCGTATTATATATCTACATGGGAGTCACGTTCCCGCCGAGAGTTTCTGTCTGTCTCTGATGAGAGGCTCCGAAAGGATTTATGGCCTCACTTAAGTTTCCCCCCCCCTGATGAGGCGCCATGCGAGTTTTGTTTTCGGCATCGCGACAGGTGCCATAAGTAGGCCGAAAATGAATAATAATAGCAGCTACTCACATATGATTAACCCGATGACTGATAGGCCAAGTGAAATCAGCGACATTTGTTGCTCCATTGTCTAATGTGCTTTTAATGAGCGTGTGACGATTAAGTTTTGGTCAGGGAAAGTCATAAGTTATACCCAAAATGGACAGCTTTCATTAGTTTCACTAACAATAAGCAAAGTACATGTTAATCAGATAAAGTTTCAATGGGCAAACTTATAAAAAACATCTATACTTAACCTTAATTTGATATAAATGTAAGCTGCTATATTTATATCTTTAAATAAAATAGGTAATGATTAATTGTGAGCAATAATTATTATCTTTATCTTTAAATTTGTAAGCTGAAAATAACTTCAATTTAATCTTCCTTTGTAACATTTTCTTTGTTTCTTAATTTCTTTAGTGACTGCACTTGACGGAATTTTTGGTTAATTACGAACGGTTTTGTTTTTAATGCCCCAACATTATGTGCACAACCAACGAATTTTCTTGGCAGGACACACAAAAGGAGCTACCCGAAAATAGAAAAGGGGCAACCTGCTGAAGTCTCATAAATAAAACATAGAGGTTCTCACTCTCACTCTGCTCTTCGGGTTGTTCAATTCATAAATAATGAGTGAGTTCTAGGTGAGCCTTTAGCCATGCCTTTGAAATGCAAATAAAAGGTATTTTCCTGGCTGAACTTCGGCAACCACATGGCGTATGCGCAATATCCTTTTACCTTCTACTTGTAAAGTTTTTATTTTTCGAACATTTTAACAATTCAATTGAACTCTTGCAAGCTGTCTACAAAAAAATGTGAGATATATTTGGGGAAAAATATAAATGTATATACAGTTTTTCAGCACAGTACCAAATTTGAGTTGTCAAAATTGTAACGACCTTTTTCGGTGTCTTAACCCTTTCCATTGGCCATTTTTGAAGCCATTTTGAGCACTGACATCAACTGCATTGAAATGTCATAAAAATTGAAACACGTTCTCGTTGTGTTCGCTGCTGTTCCAGAACTGGGAAATTTTCATCCTCCTGCTGTTTTCCCTGCTGTTTTCCTGCGGACTTTGAGTGGCATTTCGGATGGCGACTCTTCTGGGCTGCAGTGTTGCTGCTTTTTGGCCTGCTGCTTTGCATACAAATAACGGTAATCTTTGGCTGGCCATGCCCATTTTCCCAGCCCCCGTCTGAATCTATAACCCGTATATATATCCTGAACCCTAACCCTACGGCGCAGTTAGTGTGTCTGCCACTGACGATTTTGCTACTTGGTCCATTTCGCTGATGCTGCAATTTTGCACTTTACACGTGGCCTGCAACCATCCCTTGTGGCAGTGGGCGGTAGCGGAAGGGGGAAGGGAGGGGGCGTGTCACACGTCTGGGTGCGCTGGATATTATGAAAATTTATTGTTTTACGTGCGAGTAATTTTGGGCAATTTTGAAAGACTGCGCCAAAGGTCAGAGCGTCTAAATCAATGCGCAAAAATGTTAGCAATCGCGTGGAACCTCAGTGAGATGGGTTAAAATTAAAGTGATATCTGCTTAACAATCTTTTTTTTGAGAAGAATTTAATATAAAGTTAAAGTTAATATAAAGTAAAGTTAAGTTAAAGATATAGATTATGCGGCATTGGAAAATAAAATATTGTTTAAAAGTTCAATGCTGGTCTTCCAAATAGTAATATGCATTAAATGGCAAGTAATGACTGAACATCAGAAAACATTACTCCCAATATGGTCCCAGAATCTATCTTAACATGCACTTTATCTGCTATCAGAACTACATTCCTATTTTTGGTTTATTATTGACTTAACATGCCCATTTGCCCGGCCAGTGACAATGGATATTCCCCAGTGCCAATTTCCGTTGGGCTGCTGCTGTATTTATTAGTTAAACCCATAGGCAGGAGTACAGAAGGCTTTTGTTCCACAAATGACAATGCAAATAACAAAGGGAAGACGAGTGGCAGTGGCGCCAGAGATTCAGTCTTGTTTATTATGCAGCAATTACCATGGGGGCGTATACGTGTTAAGCGTAGG